CTATTAGATACTCCGTATATTATTAGCAAATTGGGATTTTCAGAGGGTTTTCTTAAATAGGTTTTCAACCATCTGGAAAGCACTTACATTTTTGTTGTTATTGGTGTTCAGTGTGGTTTCTTTAAACCAGGGAGGGGGGTACAACAGAGGGGGGCCTTTCTCCACGCTCTTATTTATCCTATCTTCTGACGATTTCAGCAGATGTATTAAAAATCTTGTGGGGGCAGGTTATTTGAAGGCCATTGCTCCGAACAGAACAGATTGCAAGATATTCCTTGCTATGGCTGATGATCTCCTAGTTTTCTTAAATTGATCCACAGCTGACTTGCTTAAGTTTATGAAATTCCTCCTTCAGTATCAGGAAGCTTCAGGGCATTTGGTTAATTTCAACAACTGTCATTTTGTTACTTCTTCCAAGCTGCCCACTGTCAGGTTTTAAATCAATGGGGAAAGCTTTGGGTATGGTAGCGTCTAAACTGCCTATAAGGGACCTGGGCTCACATCTCTTTCAGGGGGTTAACAGGGTTGCTTGATGTACTCAATTGCTTCAACATTTTGATGCTAAGTTGAATGGATGGTGTAAAAAGCCTACTTAGCCAGGCTGGGAGACTCATCCTTATAAAGCATGTTTTGTCTTCTATTCCTAATTTCCTATGCTATCCAAAAGAAGAGGGTGGACTGGGAATTACGAACTTCAAAGCAAATACAAGAGGCCTTTTCAAGTAAGCTTTGGTGGAGATATCACAAAAAGGAATCCCTTTGGAGTATGTATATGTTTGCTGAGTATGGCAGTAGAGGACATTTTGTTCGTATAGATTATGATTCCCATGGATGGAAAAGGCTGCGTAGGAAACACTCATTTTGTGAAGAAAGGTGTTCTTTCACAGTTGATGGGCCTATTTGCCTTTTACTCTCGAATTGGGTTATGAGGAATGTAGTAGGCTTAGTTTCTTTTCTAAGCCTACTCTTTTTTCTTATGTGGGGGTAACTCACAAAATGATGCAATTAAGGTTTTCCTTATGGAGACTTTTTAATGATGGTTTACTACCTGTGAGTGATAACCTAACCAGGTTTACTAGTGTGCTCTGCCCTCCAGGTCATTGATGCAGGGAGGGAGGTGTTTCACCAACTCTTCAAAGCGGCAAATCAGGGTTGTGAAATACTCATCACGTGCTGAAAGCTCAAATTTGAACAGGAATGCTTCCCATGGGCGAGCAATTGCAGGTGGAGGAGTGATTTTGAGAATCAAACAAAGATTCCACAACAAAACCTATAGCCCACAATGTAAACCCACTCTGTTTCAGAATCATTTTCTTGTCTAATCAAGAAGTTCATGGACGGAGCTCTCATCATTGATGCTGTTGACAATGCAAAGGTAATGAATGCCACCGGATATTCAAAAACATTTCATTTATTCATTCATTCATTCAGTTGGCGTGTTTGATAATGGTTGGGAGTGTTAATTGGTTAAAGTGGGAGGGGCGATTGATAACAAAGGATGGGTGATTGAGACCGTTGATTATAGGGGCACATCGGTGCTGGAAGAAGTGAGAATTAGAGGGTCCAGCTCTAACAAGGTTGAGCAGCTGGAGAAAACATATAGTGAGGCTGGTGACTTTTCTTTGAACCCTTTTATTTTTTGATATATTATATTTGTGTTAGATAAGGCTGTAAAATCTTCAAATAAGTAAATCCTTTTCCAACTCTTGGATTGTATGATCTCTTTTACAAATCCATGTCATATCTAGTGAACATACTTGTGGAGTTGTAGGCTGGTGTTTATACTTTATATATACTGCACTTTATATTTTTTTTCCTAAATCCTTGAACCAAACATAGTGCAAGTAATTCCACAACTATTTTTACTCTTCTTCCTCCTCTTACTACTCTGTAAACCTTCAATCTCTTCACCTTTCCTATTCTTCGTCTCGACAGCCAAATTCTCTCCTTCATTGCCTTTACCGGACTTCTTATTTTTCTTCTTCGTCTCAACGGTCAAAGTCTCCCCTTGTGTTCCTCCAAGTGAAAAAATTTCCGAGTTTGATTAATTTGACCACTGATTGCAATAAATTCAATCCTGCGAGGGTAAGGTCAGGAAAGGTTTGTGTATTCAGACTTTGCCTCTACTCGAGCAGCACGTATAATATAAGATCACAAAAATAAAAAAACAAAGAAAGTACAAACATGTTTTGTGTGTGATTTTTTCGGTGTTCACCGAACATTACCTTGATTCCAGCATTACATTATCCACCACGTCTCATCTTTCTGTGACTAACTGCAACCAAACAAGAAATAGAGGACCCAAGTGCTCTGCTACGTTAGAAGGGAGGCAACCATTCCAACGAATTTGGACTCTCTCTCGATTGAGTCCTGGCTTAGCCCACACAAACAGAGGTTCAAGCTTGTATTTGTAATGTGTGATCTGACTAGTCGACAAAGAGTTAAATTTTTTAAATTATCCTTCCACTAGACTCGTTGACTGGTGAGTGATGATGTAAAATGTATTACCTTCGTAGAGTGATGATTTTTAAATTTAAGGGTATCTTCATAAAATTACAATCCATGAAGTATTTGTGCAAATCTTTCCTAGTAAATAACACCTTAATTCTGAACACCTCATAAACAACTCTCCCGTTTGAAAGTGAATGTGCATGCCGAAAGAAATGAATTAGGTCAAATTATTTAAAATGTGCATTGTGTCTTTAGTGATAAATAAAAGCGCAATTTTTTTTCAAAAACATATTGTTGCATGAAAAAACATTTAAAAGCAAATCATTGTGAAGTAAAGAAAACAATAAAAATAAGTGATGATTCCAATACTTTAAGGCTCTGCTTGGAACATTAAAAAAAGACTTTTAGATGTCATTTTCCTTATTTCATGATGTTTGGCAATACAAGAAAATGAGGTCAATCCTTTCAAATAAAAAAATGAAGTCAATGGTAAGTGAAGCCCCATTCAACTGGAAAATAAAGGCCAAAATTTATGCAAGTCATTTCTATTTTTTTATTTAAATTTGAAGTCACACCATATTCGTAGGTACCATCGGTTCATCTATGAATGTTTTTTCCCATAACATATATGTCGGAACATCATCTGATTTTCTTTGTCTTACCCTACTTTTATTATTTTCTCATGAGCATTTTCACATTTTTTTTATGATTCATGGGGTATGCATTTGCTGAAATGGATTGCCATTCCATTTGCTAGCTCTCAATTCCACCATCACCTGTCGTTTGCTGTTAGTGATAGCCACTTCAACTATTTATTGTGAAGTGCATTTGCTGAAGTTGTTGAGTTTCAAATGCAAGAGTTTTTCTCTTCATGATTCATCATCATCTATCTCTTCTTCGACAGTACATAATTGAGGGAAAAAATTATGTTCTTTGACGAGACACTGAATTTCTGCTTGTGGATATTCATTTTTCGGAAGATAAACCAAATAGAAATAGAGAGTTTTAACAAGTGAAGTATGACAAAGAAAAAAAATGCATCACAGCCCGAGTCCCTTCTATGATATAATGATATATATAGTTGTTTGACCTTCATCTATCAGCAGACACTGCCAAGTACATTGTACTTGTGTACTCGAATGAAAATATATGCCTTGACAGTTACGGCCACAGATGCGGAGAGGAATTACAGCTACAATATAAATTTGGGAACCATCCTCAGTCACACATGTTATGTTTTCTACCATCTTTCTTGTATCTTGTAGGAATTTATGGATGTGTGCATAAGAGAGTTACCTTTCAGGGATCACTGTTCCTTGCCCAGGCACTCGGACCTTTATCCTTCACCGGGATACAGTCTTGAGAGGTCTAACAGATTTCGCACACAAATATCATGATCTGCTCTGGAACTGTAAAAACCTGGCTCATTCATCATGTATTCGAGCGCTTTAAGTAGGTTATTAGACCAAAGCTTGTTAGCATAACTGCCCCTGCAAGAATTCCAGCCTGGAGTGGTACACGTCCAGTATTTATCATAGTGGTGGTTGCAGCTGTTGGTGCTACTTTTGCTTTCTCTTTAAAAGGCGAATCAGAGAAGTCTAGATGCAGTCTCAAGACCTGCATAACAAATGTTATAGTTACACTTTGGAAACTCAAAAGGTAGGAAAAGTAAATCTTATAACAGGGAAAATTGGAACATTGTACAGTTGAAGCTTTAACCCTCAAGTCATGTTCTAGTTTCCCAGCACACACAAGAAAGGCGTATTCTTGATCGGTTTGAATTCATCCTATAGTGTACTGCCACATCATTCAAGACAAAGATATATTTCCCCGATTGAAATCACAGTTTTCCTTGAGCAGTAACGCGGGGAAGGCATGAGTGAAAGGGTTGAATAACAGAGATGGCAGCAATGTTGAATTGTCCTCTATTCAGGCACAACAAAAGATTCAAAACCACAAATTTTTTTTGTCATCATCATATCGCTATTCTTCCATGTGCATTTTTCTATTTGGATTGGAATCTGTAGGAAAAGTTTGTCCACTTTGGTGTATCGATAGACAATGGGAATATGAAGGGCAATACTTAAGGTGGGGTGAGGTCATATATTCAGAATCATCTATGGATCGGGAGAAAGCAATTAGAGTTCAGCAACAGATGATTTATTTGGCATATTTTAGCATGCCTCCACCCACTCTTCTGCTAATGTGTATATATATCTGCGTAACAAGGACTTAAATGGTGATCAAGTATTAACTTCCAGACCTTGAACATTTTCCTTCCCTCTTCTGCTATTTTGATAACAGGGATAGTCAAGTCATTTTCATACAACCACCAAGAGGAAAGCTATTGTATCAGATAAAGTGCATTATCCTCTTGGCACAACTTAACAAAATTAATCGGATGAGACCATCTTGAATTTTTCATTATAAAGCAGCAATCAAATGAATTGGACAAATTAGCTTACATACTAAAAAAAATCAAATTCAAAAGATGAGTACGATTGATTATTCCAGAGTGCAGCATTGTACTTCCATATTCATGGTAGAACATAAAAATGGAAAAGACAGATCATAAACAAACCTTTAATCCAACGGATCTGGCGTGGCTAACAGCACCAATAAGATCAGTATCAGTTGTCAGCAGAACTTTATCACCTTCATCATCTTCATACTACATATAAACAGAAAAAGGGAATAGTATCTTAAGAAGAGTACCCCTTCCGTCCCATTTTGTCACATTACGGTTTATGATGTTCGACTCAAGTACTTTTCAATTCATTTTATATAAATATTGGTGTAGACGTAAAATTAACATTTATATATTTAAAAACATAATACGTTCTACAAAACAAGGGGTGACATGACTATGTTATTTAACAAATGATTAATGAAAAAATATAAGGAAATGTGATATAGTTTGACCAGTGAATAGTGGAATTGACAAAGATTGGGGGACGGAGGGAGTAGTATATAATGTGTGGGAGAAACAAAAGTGCATCTTCCTTGTCTTAAACAATTGACATTTACCAAAAGTTGTGGGTGATCATGATCATCAGGTGCCCCCAGCCTTTGCATAACAGCAGAAATGAGCTCAGCCAAGTTTTCTGTGCCTGAGACACATAAATTTCAAACAATAAAATGAACAGTATGTAAGTAACTGGAAGAATTGAAATAATTGAAGCTATAGTAACAAATAGCAAAGAGTTAAAGATATGGTACAAGTAATTTCGCCAAAAGGGAAAACTAGACCATACAACTGAAAACGAATGATAGAGAAAATAGGTTACTCCCTGCATCACACAAAGATTGTCCAATTTACTTCAACACACTTAATGGATGACAAAGAAAAGTGTATTACTTTCGTTTGACTATTTAATTTCGGGAAAAAAAATCCTTTTGATGCCTTTATTTCAGAAAACTAGGAAAATCATCACCAGTTTGGTAGACACTAAAAACGAAAGAGATAAGGGTCAAATAAGTCATGCTACAAGCAACAAAAATGAAGATGAGCAGGGAAAGATTTAATATTCAACTATAAATTCAAGCAATGACATGCTTCTTAAAAACTTTCACGAAAGCAGTCAAGCACCCATCTGTTAACATGATGTGAAAAAATGTGATAATTGGAATTTTTACACGAATTTTACAAGTATGATAGCTGATTGCACATTTTTAATGTTGAACGGCTTAATTGCATATGATTTTTAATCGGCTGCCTAATTTGATCAAACAAAATGTGTACATCAATTTGTGAACGGGGTAGTGTTTAGTGTTGTATTAGAGAAATTTTATTTTTATGTTCTACAAAGAGTTTTAGGTCAAGACTTTTGGAGGATGAATAGCAAACCAAAAATGACTCCAGCCAAATAATTAATAGACGTATGCCATGGGTTCTTTCATGTTTTAAACAAATTTCAAAATGATATGGGTGATTCAAAAACTAATTTCGAAATGAGGATACTTCTCCTCTTCTGTTTTTTATTTAGGGGGGAGGGGGTGCACGCCAATGCATCATCATTCACCGTTATTGAGCTTGCATAGCCACATCACCAGTACTAACTATTATTGTCATGTCATATGCTATTATAAATAGTATTAAAAATATAAGAGTTAAATTGTAATCATTGCGAACACAACCCTAATATATTGCAAAATAAAGTGAAATTCTAATCATTTCATCTTATTATCAAGTTGGAAGCATCTTTACTATGGGAATATGGAAGTGTTTAATAAGTGATTATAAGTACAAGTAAAAGTGTGTAGTCGTCGTATGTTTAAATATAATTTTGGCTTAAATTCTTTTTAGTAATTGCAATCAATACTTCTAAGTTCTTATTGTATGAGCAAAAGACATAATTGCCCCTAAATAGTAGAGGAGAAAATTATTATATAGGACAAAATTGAATTGTTTAAATAAGCAATAATAAAAAAATGAAGTGGCTGCTTTTGGCTCAAAAAAGTGATCATTTAAGTTTTTTTGCCTTTACCAAACACTAAAATTCTAAAAATTAAGAACCTGCAAATGCTCAAATCTTTTAACTCTAGGTATGGGCACATTTATTACTCCCTTGCTGGAGTTTTTGAACTTCCCAAATGGTTGTCCCAAAAAAACTTTTTACTTTCCATTTTAGGTTATGGCGTACACGTAGTAAGTAGTAACTATTAAGACCACTGTACCCTATGCCCCAAACACTTTTTCACTTGCTTCTAAATTCACTTTAGTAATACATTTTTTATTACAGGGCCTAAGATTGCATCTAATTTAAAAGGAACTATTCTCCTTATAAGTTTATAATGTATGCCTGCAAAGTGCCAAGGAAAAAACTCCAGCACAACAGAGGTAACATTTCATTTTATAGAAACATTAATCAAGAAAGTTCATAAAATATAAACTCATTCTATGAAAAATTCTTGTAAGCCTAGAAATGCTTAGAAATGGTTTTTTGTAATAATTAAAGTATATGCAGAACCCCATTGAACAAAAATACAAAACTTATTTGTCACTTCAGATAAATGTCTCTTTGCCTAGAGATTTTGTAAGTTTTGTTTTAATTTTTTTATGGTACACTTTTTAAAAGACAATTTACAATTCCATGACAAATTTTATTGTTTAAGAGAAAACTCAATTTTTGTAATTCCCATGCAAGGTTGACATTCTTCTATTTATGCACTTAAGATGTTTTCATGGGAGGAGTTCTATATTTTATGAACTTTTCCCATTCATAGTGATATGAAATAGCATTGTAAACATGTTAGCAATTAGATATGGTGCTTCATTTTATTATATAGAGGAAGCACGTTGTAAACATGTCAGCAATTAGATATGAAAAGGACAAATAGTCATTTTCACTTGTACAATGTGCTATTACATGAATATGTCAATTGCAAGGGTTATTGCTCATTGCCTTTAGGTTTTGAAAATGACATAGAAGTGACAACCAATGAGCTTCAAGGCTAGTGAGAAAGTGATTCAAGAACTACAATGAACCTTTTCATTCAGTGATGAAGGGTATTTTCTCACAAGTGAAGACACACGACCAAAGACTTTGAAGATCTCTTGGTTTGTTAGTCTTTTAGGTCTCAGAATGTTTGTTAAAGAATATGTCATAAGAAATACTCCTAGACCATCCTCGTTTATTTAACCTTCACTCAACCTTCATTCACAAGGATCTTCCTTCATTTCAAGGTCAACTGTACACTTTTCTCTTGTAGGATTCTAAAACTACACCCGTAGGGTTTGAATACTATAGTGTTTTGAACTTTGAAAATCTACTAGAGGACAAGTATTCGAATACTAACTACTTAGTATTCGAATACTAAGGCGATCAGAGAGCATGGGTTATTCTGCCTAAAACTTAACCATTAGAATACTACTATGTAGAATTCAAATGTCTAAGCATTAGAATGAACGTTCCATTTTTTGAAAGGGTATTCGAATATTTCCCTTGTTACATTCAAATACTAGTATACATTGGTCTTCACAACTAAAAACCGTCCTAGTATTTGAATGCTACTGCAGTTTCAACTGCAGTAATAGCTAGTCTTATGCCAAAATTTGAAGGCTTATTTATCCTACCCTTGGCTGGCATATTTTTAGAAGAACACCAAGCCACAAAAACTAATCTTTATTTGAATCCTATATTTTATTCAAACATCCAAAGTGGATGACGATGCATTGGCATGAAGAGTCTCCATATTTGAGAAATAAGTTAAAAAGTATCTTTAATTAGGAAACAAACTTTTGAAATAAAGACTCTATAAACAAGCTTCGCTATCTAGAAAGCAGCTTATGTTAATTGAGTGCCACCAGATTAAAAAATACTCACCAAAGTTAAATCTATGTACACGCCCCTTGTGATCTTCAAATTTGAAGGTAAATAAATTTCCAAGGCCAAGGGATGGATATGAAGACTTTCCATTTTCTGTCCATTCAGATGCCGCTGCTCCAGACATAGACAGCTCACTGCATAAAGGTCCATTGATGCCAATTAAGGTTCAATATAGGATGTGATTAACATTGTTTCTTAAATCCAATGGTCATAAAACTCTTTGTGTGTCATACACATCTATCCTTAACTTTCATTACTTATCAGCAGACCAAAAGGGAAATGACCTTTGTGTGTCACAATCATCTGATGGTTCCACATTAAGAGCTGAATCCCAGAACTTTTGCATTACTGTAGTTGCAACATCATTAACAGTACCGGAGCTATTTTCAACCTGGAGAAAACATGTATATACATATATATTAACTCAGATCATATATTCCCTTCATCCTCTATTTTTATATTGACATTCATAAATCGTACTCCCTCGTCCCACTATTTTTTGGACATGGGGGGGTGACACAAAATTAAGGAAAGTAAGGTTGTGTGGTTGATATTATTGTTGAAAAGTTAGATTAAGTAAGAATGAATGTGAACCACACAAATATGACAAAATATGGTATGAGACAAAAATGCTGAGACGGACAAAAAACGTAAAAAGGGAAAAAATAGGACGGGGAGCATAAGATTAAGATCTCAAGTCTCAAGTCTCAAGTCTCAACTCTATCTAAGTTCATTATCTTTACAAATTGTCAAGGCACAAGCAGCGGCACTCGGGAATCTAGGATCAAATCATTAACCCAATGTCACAGAAAATTATAAAACATTCCATAATTACCGCAAAGGTCAATTAACTTCTCAAAAGTAGGGATTAAGATTTTATATTCCATCTGTCCCACAATAAGGTTCCACAATCAGTTGGAAACAGTTATTAGAGAAGGTGAAATTGTGTGGTTGAAATTTGTGTAGAGGAGAGAAATAGTATGGAGCACACAATTATAATCCATAAAAGGAAAGTGGAACCTTTTATGGGACGGATGGAGTATAATATTAAAGACCATAAAAATGATTTCACAGAACAAGGAGACAAAGTGAATGAGGCAGTTCAATTGGCAAAGTCATAAATGGGACTAAAAGGGAACCCGTAGAGTGAAGATGCATTAGTTCAAGATACAGACACCGTCAGATACTCCCTCTGTCCCACTATTTTTGGGACATGAGGAAGTGCAGCGCAAATCAAAAAAAGTATGATTGTGTCATTGTGTGGTTGATATTGAGGTTAAAAAGTAGGATAAAGTAAGAATGAATAGGAACCATACAAATTTGGTTAAATATGGTATAGGACAAAAATTGTGGGATGGCCAAGAAAGGTAAAAAGGGACAAAAACAGTGGGACAAAGGGAATATCAACTACGTAGTATTTAATTTAGAGATGAATTAAAAAGGCACCAAAGATGTAAAAAGCTTAACAATGGTTCACATACCAAGGAAATTGATGCATGAGCTATCTGCAACACATCTAAAGATGCTACGACCCTTCCTTCTGAAAAATGGTTAGACTTGATCATTAATTTCTTGGTTACCATATAAAATACTAAACACACAAATGTTAACATCTAACCTCTGTCCAAAACAGGAAGGTGCAAAAACTTTCCATCATGCATAATATGTAAGGCTTCAAGTATTGTTGTATCTACTGTTGCACACTCAGGGTTTGGTGTCATTACCTTGAACACAAAAAAGCTGAATAAAGTTTACATTACAACAATGACCAAGTTCATCATGTGATCCAAGCAAAAAATGGCATCAATAAAAAAAATATGGCATTTTGTTTTTTAAGTGAACACATTCTTATTATATTGATCTTTAGAGCTATTGTCCTTAGATCATGACTTGGTCTCCTCAGTCATTTGATATGAGGGAAATTGCTCAGGGAAATTGATCATTCACACGCACACACAGTTCAGGTAATCAGCTTGACACAAAAAGAGTGTTCAATTTTTGAGAGGAGGTTGAAAAGGTAAGCGACCACAGAAGATTAAAACTATTTTTGGAATTATTTCCAAACCTTTTCCACAAACCTTTTCCACCAGTGTCAGCTCCGGGGAGAGATTCTGGGCAACAACACGCATCAAGATGTCCTTAGAACTGTACAGCAATCCCAATAGAATTCTATTAGTTACGTGTCATTATGAAACAATAGGTTGTAAATGTGCGGGTTGAGGAGTTAAAAAGAGTGGAAGTGAATCATAGGCTAATCTCAATATGCAAAGTATATGTAAAAATGTGTTGAAAAATTAGGTTAGTTGGAGAATTAAGCCACTATAAACTTGTCATAATTTACTACGTATAGCGAAACATGATTGATAAAGTATCACATTCAGATACCTGTATTACTTAGGGGCTGTTTGTTTCAGCCTCTTAATGGTTCAGATGTCTGAATGGTTCAGCACTTAATGGTTCAGACTGTTTGTTTCAGCCTCTTAATGGTTCAGATGTCTGAATGGTTAAGAGATTTGCCTCTGAATGGTTAAGTATTATACAGAGTCTGAATGGTTAAAACCTTTTATCTGAATTGATCAGACATTTGCCTCTGAATAGTTAAGCAATATACTAGCTCTTAATGGTTCAGACCTCTTACTGGTTCAGCACTTAATGGTTCAGACCTCTTACTAGTTCAGCACTTACCCATTCAGAAGTTGCCAAACAGCCCCTTAGTGCACTATATAATCAAATGTGAATGATAGAATAGTATTAAATGGGTTAATTATTTACCCACTTTTTGGGCGCATGTCAAAATAAAACTGACCAGAAGTGAACCACATAGTGAAATGGGATGTTTGGGCAGATTAAAATTTTCAACATATAGTCATCCTAGTTTTAGGAGCATTTTGATTTCATATTCTCATTATGTTTAGGCTCCCTGTTTTTACTGGAATTAGGCCCATTAATATGGTGCTGTGTGTGTGTATGTAATAAAGTTGAAAGTCATATGAATAAAAGCTGTTTTTTTAAATCTCAACCTGCCAAAATGCTACCTCGATATAAAACAGAAAAGTGATGGCATCTCCTTGAAATAAACTCAACTCTCACACATTCAAAAGGCATGAGGAAATAAAATGATTACGTTAATATCCCTTGAGTCTTGTTCCCAGTTATAACTATGACTGAATTAACACGCAACTCACGCATCTTCTTAGCAGCAACTTGCACAGGATCTGATGGGGACACAACTGCAACACTGATATCAATGAATGATACAAACTAAATCATTTGATACCCATCAAAGAAATTTTACATCGTGGAATTAGAAGGCAAGAAAAAGTCAGGGTTTGAACTCTAACTTGGTATTTTCTGAAATTATTGTTGACAAAGCGGGTTTGAACATGCGCTCCCTAAGTATATCAATGAAAGCAGATGGACCTGAATAAAAACCATGGAAAAGCAAAACAATGTTGTGTCTTAGAAAGCCTGTATGAAATCATGTGCAATTTGTGTAGATACAGCTAAACAACTAACCCGAAAAATTGTTTCCCCATTGACGTTCCACTCCTTCAACAGCTGCTGCAATGGCATTACCCTGCTCTGCAGCCTTCTCCATTCTTGATATGGCATCATAAAGGCATTTTGTGATATCCAACAAAGCTATCACTTCACCATTTTCAACAACGGGAAGGTGGCGGAATTTTCCTGTAAAGGAAATGAAAGAAAAGAGGATGATAATGATCAACTTTACCCATAAAAGATACAAACAAAAACTAAAATGGTAAGCTTTCATTCAACAAAGAGTATCAAATTATCAATGATCAAATCATTCTCTAACACATTCGGAATATCAGTTCGAATCTTGTATAAATAAAGCAGGCAACTGTGTTTTGGATTACAAATGTTGTCAGGGATTGAGCCCCAACTATGTAAGGATTCCCTGTATAAAAGTCTTGTACAATGATCTACAGCCATGTGAGATGATTCACTCACAGTTTCTCCTTCCAACGCTCGACATGGTATGAGATAGGGCCACAGGGGTGTGAAAAGTCCAGAAAAAATTCAACTCAGCAAAATAACCCAAATTTCCCTAAATCATATCACAAGCAACTTCGATCAACAGAGAAACATCCTGTTTTTTGTTCAGTTTGTCATTCCACGAGCATTAGATCATAAAATTGACTCCATTACTTCTCAGCCCAAAACTTTAGTCAAGCTTTCTATTTCTGGCAACCAGGAAATGTCTAGGCTCTAACATGCCTCTGAGTGTTGCAGTCTGCCACAGGCCCACAGCCACATCAGTATCACATTATGGGTCAGGACTTCTTTGCCAACCTATTTCCTGTGAATTTTAAACCTTTGACTGCCCATTATTTACACCCATCCTAGTCCCACGTGCAAGTATGTTGGTGAAACAAATGGTTTGGATAGATAGACCACCTCTTTGACTTCTCTAAATACCATTTCAGTTTCTAATCCTCGGGTAATTCCGCATTTCCATTATCACTAATGATGAGTTCCATGGGTCACGAGCTGTCGAGCTTACATTCCTGATCATCGGCAGTTGTGTTTGGACTTATGGGGCCAGAATTATAGATTCTTTTAAACCAAGAGCTGATTGCACATAACTATAAAACATCTGTATAAATATATTCTTGTCAGGAGTTGTTGATCATTTCAAACAGCTTTGTTCAATATTTAAATTAATAATAGTTTCAATAGGTCTTAGATAGGAGCGTCTGGAGATCTAGAACTAGAGTAGTTGGGATAGTCTTTTGTACCTCTAGTCTTAGTAATGGTGCGTTGTTGCTCGTCTCTTTGTACTTCCTGTGCTTGAGGTCTAACTCTAGGGCCAGTGTGCGTGCCTCGCTCTGTGTTTTGTTTATCCTCAGTTTGCTTTTTACTCTTTGCTACTACTTCGATCTTATTTTGGTCGTGTTTTTGTGTCTTCTTTGTCGGTTTCTTTGACTGTGCTTGAGTTGAGGGTCCTTAGTTAAATCTTTACTATTTGCTACTACTTAGTTTCCCGTGACTTCCCCTTACTCGCCTTAGCTAGCCAGCACAATCTCTTCTCACGTCCTCGCCCTTCCAGGTCTTTATAAAAAACATTCAAAAGTATAATTTTGACGAAGGCGGACAAAATTGTGAAAAGTGTGTGTTGTAATAAAAATTTGAATTTGTTGCTCCAGCCTCCAGCTCCATACTTCCCTTTGAGGCATCCTATGGTACAATGTTTTCCACACTTTCTTCAAAGCTTAAAATATTTGCTCAATTGTTAAACTCAAAAAAAGAGAGAGACCCTATAATGGTAAGTGGAATTTGTCTGGGGACAGAGGGAATTATTTAACATAAATTGGGTAATAAGTTCAATTACATTATTTTTTATTGTCAATGATTAATAATAATTACTGTAATAATAATACAAAAAAAAACATGTAAATAATTTTTAATTCATAGTTGGAAGGGATTGGTTGTTTGCAGAAACTCAAAGGACATGGATAAATTGGAAGGAATTAGAGAAAATTGGAAAGAGTTGGAAGAAACTTGAAGGAGTTGGAAACAATTGAAATTAAGAGTCACAAGCCAAATGAACAGAGCTTAAGAGTCAAAGAGACGGCGTGAGGTCAATACATAGATGGGCATGAACAATTCCGATCTCTGGTGACTCAATGAGTACAACGGCATGATGTCTGTGGTGACTAAGGTTATAGGTTATTTACTTCTTTCTCTTGCTTGTGGCTTAAAAATCTACGAGGTCCAGACATTTTTTTCAATGAAATACATCGTAAAATAAAGCATTAACTGGTTTTAATGGAAATTAATTAACTTTGGCGTCGACTAGATGCCTAGTTGTTGCCTTCACAGCGTCGTGCAACATCTTTCACCTTCCGGGAAAGTCCAATGCACCTGGAGAGTTCCTTCGATTGTCGGGACTCCTAGGTGGCGCCTTGATAACTATGAGCAATGCATATCAATGCAGATTTACTCCAGGCACATTCAATTACCATAAAGTGAGTTTTAAATAATTGTGAATACTAGTGTTCACACTTTTCATTTTAAACTTAGTATCCAATGCAAGTGATTGTGTACCAAACTGCCAATAGAAATGTTGAGATTAACTAAATTTCTAAAGATATAGTTATTCAATTAGATTAGCAAGGTTCTTACTGAAGCTATGAATGTGCACTTGTGCAGACAAGTTAAACGTGATTTTTCATTGTAAAAACAACTAAAATCATGAATCAGTTAGCCAATAAAAGCCACCTAGAAAAATATATGGATGAAACAAATTAATAGCAACGGGGCTAAGATGTTTGATCTAGAAGCTACAAGAAATTTTTATAAAAAACACTAATCGATAATGACTATGTAAGCATCCCTTTGTAGAAGGAAAGGGAAAGAATGCTACCTTGGACCATCTTTTGAAGAGCTTCAATGGCCAACGAATCTGAGGTTACAAAAATAGGATTTCTTGTCATGACTTTTGAAACTATAGTCTGCTCAGGCCTCAATTCTTCAGCTATAACCCTGGTCGCAATATCCTTCCAGATAAAAAAAATACAAAACACGATGTTATCATTTGAACCGCTAGAAAACCTTTTCAAATTAATCATTCATCCACCTGCCCACCCTGGTAACTTAATCAATGAAGGTCTTTATATTTCACTATTATTTCTCTATAGTTCTCAAAACTCACAACACAAAACACCTTGAATAAAAATACATTAGCACAAACAACATTTCTTGTCCCAAAGGAGAGTTAGCCATGCCTTCTTTCCAAGCGACGTTGGGAGTTTCTTTCCAGAGTCGTGAAACCTACACAATTAGATCATTTGACAAAAAGGAAAGAATCAATTACTGTGAGTAACCTTGTCAGTGACAATGCCAGAGAGTAGTGCGTTGGAATCTGTGAGAAGGACAGCATTCACGCGCCGTGCTGCCATGCGGCGACAAGCATCTGATACAGTAGTGCCCTCGGGAATTGTCAATGCCTTGGAAAGTCTCAGTTTCTTAACCGTTCTCTCCCCATTGATAGACCTATCAGTAGAACAGATAGAAAATTAACCTCAAGAAAACATCAGGAGCAATCAATCTTGCAGAATCAGAAATAATGTAGCAGGCAGTTGGCGGATTGTAAACTGCTCTCTGAGAAGAAGAAAATCAAACAGCAAAAAAACTACAGTATCACTTGTTTCTGTTCATGTAGGGACAAAGAAATGAATATCACAGCCACGGAAGCGCTTATGTATAAATTCTTACGAGTGAGCCGGAGAAGTGGGTTTCGGGTTGGAGCCGTTTGCTGTGCCGTTCCCATTCTCAGAATGAGTGGAGGGTTTTCTGATAGTAGACGGAATGCGGTTCTTCTGCACCATACCGCTCCTTCTGGGCGGTAGAACCGCCGCTGGCAAATGGTTGCTCATGTTTCGTGTGTGGCTCTAAAACGTCAAATCCCCCTTCCCCTTGTCTTGTTTCTCACCGCTACACCACTGTTTACTCAGAGAAGATGGAAGGTTTGGGTGTTTGCAGGCAATCGGAAGCGGAGGAATCGCTCACCGGCCGGCGGTCGACGAGAATCGAGAAGTCGATCACTGCTCCGGTGAGCAGAATTCAGGTTCGTACTAACCCTAAATTCTGCTCTCTGATTTTCTTCCTGTGTTTTTGTCTTTCGTTGATTGATGATGACGAAAGCTACCCGAAAGAGACAAAGGAATAAAGAGGTCAAAAGAGAGCAGATACGACTCAATCTCCCTTTTTCAACCGTAGTGAGTGTAGGGGTGGGTGGGCAAATTTTGGGGTCAGCTAAAAACCCGTGGAGTTCGACCCGATTTGTGGCCTGGTGGGTATTATCCTTTTTACCGTGCGATGCACGGTCAGAATAATATAATAATAAATCACTTTATTTTTGGAAAGAATAAATGTTTTAAATCGAGTTATTGTGATGAAAAATACAATTTAATATATATCACACACGAATACTGCATTTATCGAACAACAATGCACTTTATAGTTTTAGATCAAATAAGAGTGCATTACACATAAATAAATTAAACATATAAGAATGCATTATAAATTCTGGAAGACTTCTTTATATACAATATTTGAAGTGTAGTCCCAAGGATTGTTTTCTTCATCACAGCATAGGATCTTCAGTCCTTCACGATTCGTCACACGGGAGAGAGCAACATATAGCTGACCGTGACTGAAGACTGGTTTTTTAAGTAGTAGCCCAACATGCGATAATGATTGACCTTGACTTTTGTTAATGGTCATTGCATAAGAAGTCATGACAGGAAATTGTTTCCTTTGGACTTGAAAGGAATCCTTTATTCACACTGCAGAGCTTTTCTTTATCTTTCAGATTAGGGTCAACACCACTTCTAGCTACATTCATGGATTGACGTTCAGATTCTTGATAGCATCGGAAGTTAGAATTTGTAGAATTCGTATCAATTGAGCGCAAGGGACGCAAAGAAGTAGGTGTATGAATTGATGTTCCTGAAAATATTAAAAATCATTAAAAAAAGAGTAATAAAATATTACATTAAACTTATGTAAAATATATATTAATTGAAACTAAAGTACATATACCATGAGTAAAATTTGCAGATTTTGTTTGACCAATATTGCATCCACGGGTCGAATTGAACTCAAAAACCCCTGATGATGCTTTTGATCGAATTACCCGTTCATTTTCTGAAAAACAATCCACCATTAAAATTTAGTATTCTTAAATAATATAAAGATTTACATTCATAGTTTAATATCAATGTGTTTTAATATAATATATTTAAAATTAAATTATAATTTTAGAATATAATATTACATAAATGTCATAAAATGTTTTTTCTACATTATCTAGTGTATAAATTTGCTTACCCAAACAAATAATCTAACCCAATTGCCCAGCCCACCCAGCCCAATGTAACATCCCAGCCCGCCATCCCTAACCCCATACTACACCAAGCCCATAACCCAGCCCTAAATAATACGGAGTAAACCCTTAATATTTATACCAGCCCCCCCCCCATACGCCGCTTCTCTCTCTCTGTCTCCGTCTCTCTCGCTCTCTCTCCCTCTTTCTCTCTTACTCTTATATCTCTAACATATTCTAATTTATCTTCTTCATGTCTATTTTCTGATTTTTTTTGTTTCGTGTTCATCGTGTCGTTGAGAAATTGAAGCATTGGTTTCGAGACATATATTTTTTTTTAGAATAATCACTCTCTATGTAGTTTGATTTTTTTTGTTTCGTGTTCATCGTGTCGATGAGAAACTGAAGCCTCGGTTTCGAGACTTTGATTTTTCTTTTGGATTAATCTCTCTCTATGTTTTGATTTGATTCCTGATGATTTTTCCTATTTTTTTTTGTTTTTTGTCATGTTTTTAGTGTTTTACATAGACCGATTCTATACGAAGATGAAGTCTGGGATCTATTATCAAGGTCTTTACTAATGAATCTTCTTGGGTAATAGATCTACTATGTGTTTATTTGAGCTTTAGGTACATTCCGAAGGGTTCATGTGCATTATCTGTGTTTTTTTTGCGTCGAGTCCCAAGATCTTCGATTTTTATTCATGATCTAACAGAATAATTTTTCTGTGATGCCGATGGCTCGAGATGAGTACTTTTCATTGGTGTTTTTTGTTAATCTAAGATATATTATCTTGGCCGATGGGTTTATAAATATTTTTTATTAATTTTTAGTCCATACCCTAAAATCTAACTTATTGGTTTAATTCAGGAACTTATGGTATATGTGTGCTTATCGAGAACAGAAAAGGTAAACATACCTTGTATATTTTATCTATATTTTATTTACTCTCTATAAAACATATTCTTAAAACCTATTTTGTAATCTTTAGGAAGCTTTCGGCGCATGAGATTGATGAATAACAGGTTCGAATAACCTGTAGTATCTTTCAGTACCTTATTACATTTACCTCTGATTGTTAACCTATATTCCTTTTTCTAATCAAATTAGTGCAACATAGATTGGTACTCATGTATTCCTTTGGGCGGCCGAACTGCACGATTAGAATAGGATTTGTGATCCCTGCACCAACGGATTCATTGAACTTCTCAATGTAGTCTCCCCAAAGAGTGCACCGTAGTTGTTGGCCCTTATGAAACCAAATATTGGTAACTTTACATTAGAAATAGAGTTCAGTTGAATATACATTCTAGAGGACATAGCATAACCTTGTATCTTCCAAAGTCAGCTCAATGAATCTCCGTGGAACTCCGAGAACAAATTGGCTTTGAATTCCAGTCCTTTCAATTACTTTTCCTATCACATCTGCAAAATTTCAGGCATGTTAATACACAGTTTATAATAAATAACTTTATTGAAATATTTTAAGTACTGCAAAAAAGGTTTTTACAAAAAATTGAAATGTGCATCCTTAGCAGTTAGCAGATTCTGGCTCAAGGGTTCCAATAACTTCTCAAAAGGACAGAAGTTAAACATGAATTTTGGAAATCGGTATGCACTTAAGTCTTTCCAGTGTGTGTCTTCAAAGAAAGTCAGGGTAAAAGGGTGGTTTGTGGTCTTGTAATCCTGATTGTTTCGCATCACTATGAAATTCTTCAATGCACAAACTGCCCCTTCCTTGATTTTGGGTCTGAATTTCTTCATTTCAGGCCTCCTAATCCGTGCATGAATCCTTGTTCCCTATTGCAAAAAAATGAAATTGGTCTGCCTGGATATTAAACTTTGTTTGATTGTGGATTGTACATGGTTAAAGTGTTTACCTTTGAGCCATGAAAAATCACTTCTATTGTGCTTGGCCTTCCATCACGGGTGGGTAAGTCGTAAACCCGAACGGCTCTAACACAAATTCCCTTCTCTTTTTTATCGTCGTCCAAATCTTTCAAATCGCACCACAGACCTCCATCTCTGCTTGATTCATTTGACATTGTGATTTTTTTTTAGGAATGTGTAAATGTGAGATTGTGTGGAAGCAAAGGAGAATGGCCTGCATTTATAAGGTTATGGTGCAGGCATAGTGGGCAGTTGTATACGTATGAAGTGGGGAACTGGCTACAAAGTGGGCTGATTTTTTTTATTTTATTTTAATAATAGCAGTTTTTCTCCTAAAATCGTGTGAAGTGTGGTTGTGGGTTTATATTTCTCTTTTTCAATTTTTTTGTATGAAGCTCCTGATTCAATTATTGGTTGCATTAATATAAACATTCTTTTTTTTTGTAATAATAATAATAATAATATTTATAAAATCAAAAAGATACTGTAAACTTTTTTCAATGTATAATTATTGTTTGCACAAATAAAGCTCAGTAATATGTTAAAGTAATTCTGTAAAATATTGATTTTAAATAAGTTTATCAGAGATTTTACTGATTTAATATATTTATTAAATGTTACAATTGGTTACTAAAATAAAAAAGGCCGTGGGATGCACTTGAAAAACAGTTTTTTTTATCAAAAAATTGATCAGGCTCAAAAAGTTTGGAAATGCAAAAAAAAAACGGCCCATAGCTATAGTAACCGGCCCAGAAGTTTAGGCGGGATTTTTTTCCTGCTGCCATTGTAAATAGAAGGATTTAAACCAGGCCGAACCTGTTTCTATTCATGAAATAGGGCCGTTGGAACGGGTGAGAGTGTGAGACTAAATTAACGCCGAACAAACCGAAGAAACTGGAAAAAATTAAAAGAAACTGAAAAAACTAAAAAAAATTAGAAATTCTAAAAAAAAGTAATTTTTTTGTGTTTGTGTTTTTTATATTATTTTCATTTTAATTCTTGTTGTTATAAATTGTTGTTGTTGCTGTCATCACGTTATCTTAATGAATGCCTTTAAGATAAAAAAAATATTGTTATTTTTCATACACAAAAAACTACTTTTGCGCCTCAAATGGAACAGGAGCATCAAATTCAAATTGTTATTGCAACACGCACTTTGCACAATTTCATTCATCTTCATCGAAAAGGAATACCAATTTCACCGAGGCAGCAAACAACCGAAGATAGGCCCAAGGTGATGTTGTTTGATGAACAAACTAAAGATGCAATGAAGCAGTTTAGATATGAAATAGCAGTTAATATTCTACAATGCAGTTAAGCTTATTGAAGATACTAAATACGGAGTATAGTTTTTAAAAATACTAAAAAACATTCTATGTAACTATTTTATTCCTAATTTTTCTAAATAGTTTAAAATATCGATGTTTTCCTATTTTGTGATGTAGATTAATATACAAAAAATGGTATTATTCATATTAAAAAGTTGAAGAAAAAATAATAATGAGTGCATCATAAAAATAGTGAGATGAAAAAATAAAATAATTTATAAACTATAGTTATGAACATAATAGTTGTAATAATAATAATATATCATTTTTAGAGTGATTAGTCGGAAAGTAGAAAAAGTTCGAAGAAAATAAAAATAGTTGGAAGAAACTGGAAGGAACTGGAAAAAACTAGAAGGAACTGAAAAAAACTAGAAGGAATTGGAAGAACTGTAAGAAACTAGAAGAAACTGGAAGGAACTGGAAGGAACTGGAAGAAACTGAAAGGAACTTGGAGTTAAGAGCTCAAGCTCTAAATAACAGGCTCTAAGTGGAAGAACTTCTAGTCACCAATTCGTATTTTCCTTCCTAGCAAATACAGAGTATTTATCTTGTTCTTTTATTTAATTTCTTTTTTATTTTGGATTTTGTTTGTGTAGCTTTCGCCAGTTTGTCTTTCCGGGTCGCAGAGAAAGAAATAAGCAATGGATCTTACCAAATCCTAAACCCCCATCCACAACATATTACGATTCGCCTAAACCGTAACCCGAATGACCCGACCCCCACCCTACTCGATTGAAAACGGATCGGATCACAGAACCTTTTTTGTATAACATGCCACCCCCATCGGGTTGTCCAATGTATTGCGCGTCAGACCCGAACCCGACCCGTGCCCACCCGTAACTGAGTGAGTGCCTGAGTTAAGAGTTTGGGTAATGTTATAATCCCATCATCCATGCATGCACTCTTACCATCTTATATACGAAGTATAAAATATGGACTGTGCTACGCGCCCACCACCTCTGCCTCCTTTTATACCCCCATTTATAAAGTAACTTCGTCTTTCATGATCGGATCCTTTGGTTCTCGTCACTGCCTTCCAGCAACACAACTAATCAGTAAGATTTTTTTTCCTTCTTCATCATCTATATCCAATTTCATCTTCCACATCTTAGACTTCATCTTTTCTTTTCATTTTATGTCTTGTCATTTTTGCAACAAATCAATTTTTTGATGTTCTCTACAATAACTGTTGGATGTTTAAGGACTTACACGCATCTATTGCAACAAATGTTGAGAACACTCCAGCACATGCTTTTGTTGGTGATGAAGAGTTCATGATTTTGTATCAATCGTAGCCCACTGGTGAGTGTTGGAATTTGTGGTGAGGTGATTTGCATGTGAGCTGGAGAAATTGAAAAAAAATGTCATTTGTGTTACAAAGGTTAAAGATCTGTGAAACAAGGGTTATTTCTGGCCACAGATGAAAATCATTTGTAATGTGAGGGATTCTATTATATAAATGTGGGCGTATGTTTTTTCCTAGTTTTGAGCCAACTTTGTTTCTTAAAGGTCATATGTGATTAAGTGATTTTGCATTTGAACTAGATAATTTGAAAAACTTGTGATTTTTGTTAGCAAAGTTTAACCTATGTGAAAGATTTTTTTTCATATCATTGTCTATATGCACTCCGCAATTGGTGTTTTCCATTTTCTTCATTGTCATGCCATCGTATTAAATAAATGTTGGTGTTTTTTTGGAGGTTTTGATCCCGATGTGCAACCAATAGCGAATTCGTGCAAAACATAGATTTGAGTAACACTGATGTGCTAGCACATACCACCAAAAGTGAGTTCCTCCAGAACAATGGTAGATGTCTTTCCAAAGGAACATAATGTATTTGAAGTGGGGATGAAATTTTCAAGCATTGAAGAAATCCAAAAATATTATTTGGCTTATGCTCCAATTCAGACTAGAACGACTCATGAGAGAAAACATGGGACTTCTAGAAGTGTTACATTTGCATGCACTAAACAAGGAAATAAAAAGTAAGATGCAATATGGGCTGGACCCAAAAATGCTCCACGAGTGAGACGCCTAATTTGATGTCCTTTTTATTATTTTGTAAATTTTAAGATATAGTTTGTGAATAGATTTTAACTGTTTGTGTAAATCGTTTGAAAGTCAGTAATTGTCTATAAACTTGTTCGAATTGTTAATGCATACGCAAAATGATTTGGCTTGAAGTTTGCACTTTTTTGTGGAGCACGACCTGAAACATTAATGTACATCATAAAATTTTTTTATGTTCTGGTGTTTGTTTGTGACACCTAATTTGGCGAACTATATCCTCTAATGTAGTAGCTCTCTGTGAAAATACATTCACATGATATTAATAGATGTGAGTTCATTGACATAAGATTTACTCTCCATTCAAATTTTATCAAAATCCTATGTAAGAGAGAGAGATCTCCTGCAAAGTTACTCTTTATTGTATGTTTGCAATAAAAAACACAAATGACAATAACACAATTTAATGGTGTAGCTAGTGTAGATTAGAATATATTTCTCCAATAGAAATGTGAATCCAAAGTACAATACATTCAGTGCTTCTAAATTACATAGAAATTTGCACTAAATTTACATCAAAGATTGGGAATATTTTCAAAGTTTTATGCTGGACAAAAAGTTCTAAAGAACTTACTAAAATTTCAACGGTGTTCCTCCAAACTTTCCCTCTTCTTCTCATTCTTCTTCTTCTTCTTTGTCTTTTTCTTTATCTAATTTTGCGCATATTCTCTTATCGCACATCTTGACCTTTGCTTGGAATTTCTCTTGAATTCAACTTTTTTGATACCTTGATAAAAAATTGTTCTTTTTTTAATGCATCACGAATCATCAAAAGTGAATTTCTTAATTTCACTGCCTTCCAAGATCTAGAATTTATCACCTCATTGATTATTAACAAGCAAGAGAAGTAATTGCTGCAAGACCTAACCAGAGAATTGGAGCTTTTGAAGCCTCGCGAAATGTCCAAATGGAGTCTTTTTAAAATCTTCTAATTGGCTATAGTTTAGTACATGATACACTATGGAGATCGCAGCTATCTTGATAGAGCCTTCGATACATGATGAAAAATGCATTTTTCTGGATTTATCGTTGTCTTCGTTCTTGTTGTAGGTATTCCAATCTACTGCGCCATACATAAAAATACCAACTGAATGAGATTCTGTTAGACAATGCGTGCAACTCTAGAGGGGGGTGAATAGAATTGTTGAGAATGATTACCGATTTTCGCAGGATTAATAATATAAACGTAAGTGCAGCAGAAATAAAAGAGAAAAGACAAAGAACACACCGATGTATACTGGTTCACCACCTCGTGGCTAGTCCAGTTCCCCGAGAGACTCTCTCGAAGCTACCACTACTTCCATTAAGCTTACGAGTGCTTAACAAACCGCTTACAACTCGAGAATTTGAATCCCACAAGCCTCGACACAACCGCTCGTAGATATGCCCTCTACAAGACTTCACAACCAAGACTTAAGTCACATAAGTCTTGAACAACAAGAAGAACAATCTTCTTCAACCTCTCAACATAAACTCTCAAAAAAGTAGAAATGAGAAATGATTAAAGCTCTAATTGATGACAAAACACTCTCTTAAAAACACTTAGTTTTCTCTCAAAATATATCAATTTGAGGAAGAATTGAATGGAGGATTATAACCTCAAGATAGGGGAGTTTAGGAGTGCTTCTTATTCTTGAAAAATGACCAAAGAAAGGTGTTTAAATAGGAGGTGAAGAAAAATATCCGTTGGTCCAATAAAAGAAGCTGTGATGAAAAATGCAGCATAAAGATCGATTAATGCATCACAATAATCGATTAGTGCATCATCATAATCGATTAATGCAGCTGAAAAAACCGATTAAATTTGCCTGAGCAAAA